TGTGTACTGTATATAGAAGGGATTGCATAATAACTCAAAAATAAAGTGTCAAAAATAAAGTTATATTGTGTGTATGATGGGGTATGGGAGGGTTGTGAAAGGGTGTGGCTGTGTAGGGTGGCATAGGGTATGTTGGGGTGTATGTATATGTTGATGGGGGTTGTGGGAACAGGTTGTGAGGAAGTGTGGGGGGTGTAGGGACACCCCACATGCTCCCCCCAAGGTGGGGAGGTCAGGGTGCTCATGCCTGGTGCAGGTACCTGGTGGGGCATGGCTCCAGTCAGCGCTGCACAGGGAGAGGGAGCAGAGCCTGCCATATTGCCAGGGCTTCCCACTGCGCACGTGCAGCTCCAACACTTGCAGTGGAAGGCCCATGTGGGACTCCATGGGGAAGCAGGGGGTGGGGCTTCCTCCACTCTCAGCAGAGTGCAGGGACCTGTGCAGTAGGGAGCAGGGGAAGCAGCAGGCTCCAGTGCTGGGCTTCCCCTGCTGTGAGTGCTGGAGCTGCAGGTGCACAGTACGGAGCCCTGGCAATAGGGCGGGCTATGCTCCCTCCTCCCGCGCAGCGCTGGCCATAGCCATGCCCCGCCAGATGCCTGTGCTAGACATGAGCATCCTGACCAACCCACTGCTGCTGCTGCTGGCAGCTGGGGATGCACACCATGGGGGGAGTGTATGGGAGGTCCCTACACCCCACATCTTTGCACCCACAAACTGCCCAACTAAGCTCCACACTCCCACTACCACTCTGGGCACGGGCTCTGTGCTTCACTCCCGCTTCTGCCCACCTGCAACTCAACACCCCCTCATACCCCGGCCCCACCACTTCCCTACCTGCTGCCCCGGGTGAGCATGTTCTGGCTGCAGCAGGTGTATCTCATGGAAGCTGCTGGCTGGGCAGAGCCCTTCTGCCCAAGAGGGTGGGAGTGAGGCCCAAAGGGTATGTTACGGGGTTGTGCACGTGAGAGCCTCGCTGCCACCCTCATGGGCAGAAGGGCTGGGTGGTGTGCAGTTCATTGGAGGGGGCGGGTGCTGGGCCAGATGAAGTGCCTGGCAGGCTGGATCCGGCCTGCGGGCTATATTTTGCCCACTCCTGGTCTATCTGAACAGATCTGTGTGCAGAATTGGGGTATGTGTAAAAATGATTTCTGTCTTGAAGTGGATGGAAGAAGATAAACAAAAGAGTGTCAATTTTGAAGATAAACAGATGAGATGTACATCTATCTATCAGACACTTCCCCACCCTAAAAAACATTCACAGTTCAGAGAATGGAGCCTGTATAATTCATGAAGTGCACCTGCCAGTGTAGCTATTGGTGAGTTTTCCAACACATTTTTTAAAAACTAATTTGCCCTTTTTCAAAAGTGCTTTTCAAAAGGAAAGGCACAGAACTATGCAGATAGGTCTAAAGTAACTGAACCAGACAAAAATCTGATCTTATACATGTAATTCAAATAAAACTTGCATTACCTTTAGAAGGAATTAATGCCTCACAAGTCATGAATGTTCAAACCCTAAGTTTATATTTTCCTTAATAATGACCCTAATTTCCTTTTGCAGGTTCCATAGGTAAAAAAATTGAACAAATATAGCAAAATTTGAAACAACCTTTATCTCTCTACTACTATTATAGTTTAGAAAAATATAATGATAAGGCAGTATTTTTATTGTTGTCATTGAAAATGTGTCTTTTTGTTGTATATTATGGTTCTCTGTTACTTCATATGGGTACTTTCAAGTTGGAATTTCATGTTGTGTTAGTACAGGAAAACTGTTCCTACCCGATATGGATCACGTTTGGCAGTGCCTGTAAGAGTAAGTGTGAGGCATATCTTTGTTTGTGAATGAAATACTCCACATTTCACAAGGGCAAGCATGGAGTCCTACTGCCTAAAGCATGCTTCCACTAAGCCTGTAAAGTTTTCTACCTGAATCTTTGGGAATCATTGACCCACCTGAGTTGAATCCTGTGTGAGCTTTGTTGGGTTTGTGACATAGCTGTAAAACTTAGGGCTCTTTTGCTATGCTGTGAAAATGCACTTTTCCCCCAATTTCATTCATATAAACTTTTGGAATGAAGAGTACCCTTTAATACATACTCTTTGGTTCTAATAGCTCTATGCACATTAGGAATACTACCCTTTAGAAGTTTATAGAAAAAATATCTAATGGTTTCTTGAATGACCTACTCTAGTGCTGCATCAGAACTCACTAAAAAGAAAATGTTTTGCTAATGGTAGGTCAAAGTAATGTTCTGTCTCTTTATTTTCCTGATGCATTGCATGGAGGTTCAGAAGCCACATTACAGCACTGTAATCTTTCATCAGAGTGTTTGTTTGGTTGCCTAACATCTGTGGATTGTTAAGATAAGTTATTACACAGACCTGCTTTAGTTTAGATTAGTTTGGACCACATCCCAGTATATTCAATCAGGATATAATTCCTGCATGCTGCTAGATTGCTTGCTCCAGATACTTCTCTAAAAATGTTTTTCAATATACAGATTTCTTACTGAAACTGTTATGTCACCTCAAGTCTTTTTTTTTCCTGCTAAGAAAATCTTTTGTTATTTTTCCTTTTGGACTGAACATAGCTCAAGGCAAACATAGCATTTAATAGCTAAATCCTGAAGAGAATCCTAAACAGAGATGGTAGTGTAGCTCCTATGTGAGTATAATGCAGGTTTCCTTCATATGTAATCTGTGCTGCTTGGTGTGTATGCTGTGTCTGAATGCAGCTATGAGGAAAGGTTTTATTTAATTTCACATATAGTATTTCTCCCTTTTGTATTCTGCGTGTGTCTTATTCCTTCAGTGTTACCACTTGTTTAAGTTTCATATTTTTGTCCTTAACAACTAATTCTGATAGCCAAGCAAATTAAAATTAGGTAAGTTTATATTAGTAAATACAAAAAAAATTACTATGGATTTTTTATTTTATAGGTGTATTTAGATCTGATATATTAAATTTGGGATGATGTTGGTCATGGGCAATTATTGCCTTTTACTTTCTGCGATATTGTTAAAAATCAAGATTTCTCTTATTTAGCATTCAAACTTTCTTCTAAATATCTTGTGTTATAGTTTGATTAAAAGAATTACTCTTGCTAAAATAAAGGGACATAAAGGACTTTTTAAAACTATTTCATTTTAGTTTGAAATGTGCTAGTCTTTTCCTGACGTTGTACATGTACTGCACTGTACTATTTAAACTATTCTGGAATTTTAAAAATCTTTTCTGTCCCTCCAGCCTGTTTCAAAATCAGAATCCCTAAGATGAAGAAGATATGTCATAATCTCATGAAAAGAAGATTTTTGTAATGTTTAGCATTTGTGGTAAAAGGGAAGCTGTTCTGCTTATTATCCCACTGAGGCTTATTATGCTTCTATTTTTGACACAGGACATGTTTGTACAGCTATTGGAATAATTGTAACTTTTGATTAGAAGCTTTTTGAATTAATGAAAGCTATTTTAATGGCTATTTCATCATCTTCCTCAAAAGAGGAAAAATCAAAGCCTACTTAGTGTTTAAAGACACAATGTAGATATGGCTGCAGGGAAAGATATTTGATCTCCCCCCCTCAACCCCCCAACCAGAGTTCAGACACTGGTATAGAGGTTGTATACTTGTTAGTCCAGTTATATTCTTTAGAATATTAATGTATTTAGGACCTTCATAATAATTATGAATTGTGTGCTATATACAATGGCTGAAAATATTTTTCCTTTTATTGATGATATTCAAAGAAAGTTGATATTGTCATATCCGCAGTTTACCTACAGTTTATTTCCTATAAAATGGTTATTTTTCTTCAAATTTCTTATTTTTTAAATGTTCAGTGTGTATCTGTCCCTTTACAGAAAATAATAGCTAAAATATGAAAAAAGAATAGTCCTCTCAATATTAAATTACATTTCCTTTCTTTTTTAATCATTATTTTCCATTGTTTTACCCTTCAATCTCTGCTCACGAAGTTCTGGTTTTTGTCTTCTACCTATTTCAGCTTCCCTGACATCTCATTTTGAATTTCCTCATTCTTCTTTTTTTTCCCCTAAAACTCCACTTCTTTCCCTACTAATTTTTTAATTTTAAATGCTCTCATTATTTTTAACCTACAGTACAAACTAACCCCAATCTTTATATAATCCTAAAGTGTAGGCTTGGGTTTTTTGTTGCTTTTTAGGGCCGTTAGAAGGAAAAAAAGAAACCCTCTGTGCAGAGATTATGTAGTGGTGATATCCAGTGACTGGAACAGTTGCTCTTTTTTTTTTTAGCTTAGAGATTTTATATATGATCATTTTTTGATTTTGCAAATGTTTGGTCTTTTTATTTAGTAAGATTTTCTGTCTTGTAAAGTACTATACACAACTGTGCATTTCACTGTTGCATTTAGTCACGTAGCAGTAGATTGTTTTTTTAAGCTTCAGTCTTACAGCATTGGTAAGTAGTTATGTTTGCCATAGCTGAAACTAGTCACTATAATTCAGATGTTGATGTTATATTGTATAAAAAGAAAAGAACAAGGAGAAATACTGTAATGCCTGCTTCTTTTATAGTTTGCACTAATGTTGTGATTGAAATGGGACAGTTAATTGGCTTGAGCTTTATAATCCCAGTTTCAAGTTTCTCTCATGACTGGGTAGTTCCATCCTGATGTTTCTTCCACATTAAAAGATTTTCTAAATTCTATTAAAAAAATCTCCAGCCTTATTATAAATTACTCAAAGAGGCCCAGCACTGGGGTAGTAGGGTTTTTGCAGGTCAAGATTGATGTATGTTGACATGACATTATGGAGAAGCTTGCCCAGCACTTGCTTGCATTATGCTTGCCCCTATTCAGTGGAATTAGCACTTTCACGAGCATGTTATGAGCACTATCATGAACAGTAACATCACCCAGTTAAAAAAAGGAGGGGAAACACTATATTTGCACACTAGTATAACAAGCATGCAATGGGCTCAAGAATACTGATAGACTTCTTTTTTATCTTCAATTAGGTTATGTGGGTATGCAATTTATGTCGAAAACAACAAGAAATCTTAACAAAATCAGGAGCATGGTTTTTTGGAAGTGGTCCACAACCATCACCCAGTCAGGATGGAGCACTAAGTGACACAGCTACTGGTGGAAGTTCTGATGCACCTAGGGAAAAAAAGGCGAGGCTTCAGGAGAGATCAAGGTCTCAGACTCCATTAAGTACAGCAGCTGCCTCATCACAGGAAATCTCCTCTTCTAGCGTACAGGCTGACAGGAGGAAAGGAGCAGAAGTATCACAACAAGCAATGGGCCTGGAACAAAAGCAAGTTTCATCCAGGTCTAGAAGTGAGCCCCCAAGAGAAAGGTAATATAGTACTTCCTTAGACCCTCTTTATAGATCCACTGTACATGACCTAGTTTCTAAATAATATTACAGATCAGCATCTTTCTAGGAGATTGCTTCTTTGTCTCGCATGCTTTTAAGGACACTCACAATTAAATGCAATAATATGCTAAGATGTATGTTGTCTAGACTGTAGAGTATGCAGTAAATTCTATGCAGCCAAAGTTTAGCCAGAAAATTGTAAAGCAGGTAAAATTTTATGTGTCCTAGGTATTAATGTATGCAGAATCATAGGCTATTCATTATAAATGTCACTGTTGTGCCTGTTGGGATTTTAAAAGCCATTTCATAGTTGAAAGGAAACTTTCAAAAGATAGTATTACCAAAACTTGACCTGACTGTAATGAACTTAGTTATTTAAGAAGCATCTCCAATGTTCTTACACATGCTGTTTCATAGTTTTACCAAAAATATCATGTTACCCTCCAAGAATTACAAAATAATGGGCCGAGAAACCTCATTCACATAAGATATACATAATAGTAACTATACAATATAGAAATAATAGCATTTTGTATTTGAAAAGAAAGCTATTCATAAGCACTTATAGTAATTAGTATGGTAATGGTTGATAGTATCGCCTGGCTGTATGTTGTAATGAATCAACTAAAGAGGAATCTTATGCTCTTCTGCCTATTAACTGGAAAGTGATAAGCAAACCGAAGAGGGAAGGATTGTGGCAGTTGAAAGGTTGGTTGGTGAACGTGAGGGGCAGAGATGAAAGCAGCTTTTTGTGGGGACTGCTAAGATGGAAAGTTCGACTGAGCAAGGGTTATTTGCATCTTGCCTACCTGTGGTTAGGTCTGCCCTGGTTAAAGAGGAACAGGTTTCCATGAAAAGTGTAGCAAGACTGGTCACATAATGTAAGCAATCAAATTGTCACCCAACCTGACTGAAGCATCATTTCACTTTAAAACTGGTCTTTTGTAACCATCACTCAGCTGGAAGGCAACAATAGACTAGAAAAGTTCTGTAATTACTATAGAAGATCCAATTGTTTTACATGCTTAATAGACTTTTTTTTTCCTGACCAAAAGTAAGGCAACAACAATAGTCACAAATTTGCCCATTCATACAATATTTTTAGTAACTTTTCATTCTATTTTAAAATGTCTTTAAAATTGCATTGACATACTTGCTGCAGTTTTCAACACAGCATTCATAACCAAATGACAGTGGGTAATTATCTCTCTCACACACAGTTGTGACCTCTGTCATAAATTGTAGACCCACATATAAACAGTAATGACTATGCATCCTTGATTTTTTTCTAATCTCCAATCTACTGCCTAACTGGTTTTTACTCTGTGCACCTATATGAGATGTTTACTGTGCAGTAGACTAATTAGCTGCACAATAAATGTTGTGTGTCTATGTGTGCACTCCTATTAGCTTGGAGTGAATTAATTTACTCTGCAGAAGGATAGTATTTGTAAATACAAGTATTATTCTGTTGTGGAACTTTTAATCTTCAGCAGTGCATGTGTAGATGTTGCCTCAGCAGGGCAGGAGGGTGCTTCACTGTGGGGGCTTCCTGCCAGCTAGCCCGACACTGAAGCACCCTTGTGCCCCAGGCAGCCCCTCTGCAGCACGTTGAGCTGGGGGACGCAGCCCTGGGTTGGCAAGCCTACCCCTTGGGCCCCCTGCCAGCTGGGACTGCTCTGACCTGGCTCAATGTGCTGCGCTTCTGGGTACACAGGCAAACGGCATGTCCAGAGCAATAAACTAAAGCACTGGAGTTTATTGTGGTGCATTAATATGCATGTGTAGACATGTCCACTGGGACTGTTTTGCTTTCTAAAACTGAATAGCTGGAAATGGGTGCCATTTTTTAAAAGAACAATCATCCAGAGACTTATTTAATGTTATTTTTCCTGTCTGTCAGTACAGTTGTATAAAACTGAACTCATGATACTGAATGAACCCAGCACATGTAAATATTCTGAAAAAGGGCATACTTTTCAAGCAACTTCATTATTGTGTATTCTGGTTATATAATATAATACAGCAAATAATTGTCCTCTCCCATTTCTGAACATTGGATATTCCATTAATTTGTTTCAAAAGGCCTGTTCTGATTTTCTTTATCTGTAGATGCCAATGATATTGGTACTTGTTTTCTTCAGGGTTAAGTAAACTTATGTAAGATAGAACAAATATTATTTTTCTGGACTGATTCTTTTGTCGTATACATATTAGTTCTCTTTGTGCTACTACATGTATGAGAGAGTTTCTGTTTGCGATTCATGTACATAATGCCATCATGCTTGAAATGTGGTATGTGTGAGTCATTAAGCCATAAACTCCACCTTTCATTGCTGCTGGGTAAAAAATGGATAGGGAAGAATTGTATTACTCTGTTATCTGCTGTATTTCCAGTACTGATATATCTGATTCCTTAGTGAATTCAATAACAACTAATGTTATGGTCACAGATGATTGTTTTGTTTATCTAGGTTTTGTTGATTTTTGTGTGTGTGTAATTTTATGCATTAATTATAGGTACTAGAATATAAAAAGTATTATTTTTACCTTACTTTTTACTTTCTGAAGGGATGGGAAGGAAATAATGATAATGATGAAAAGATTCATTGTTAGTAAAGTAAATGCCTTTCCATGTCTTTTTTCCATAGCTTTTATTGTTTTTATTGTTCCCTAGCAAGAACCTATACAACTCCAGTATATTTTGCTTCTCTCTGTACCTTTTTAATTATAAAATTTGTTACATTATTGTACAACTTTTCATGGTAGGAAGAAGACACTGTTGGTTTCAGAACAAAATGGAAAAGGAGGTCTCAAAAGTGAACGCAAGCGGGTGCCAAAATCCTCACTGCAGCAAGAAGGACAAACTGATGACAGAGAACGTAAAGAAAGGCATGAAAGTCGAAAACTGGAGAAAGGAAGGTCACAAGACTATTCAGACTTACCAGAAAAGCTTGAGGAAGGCAAGATAGCAGATGAAGAAAAGCAAAGAAAAGAAGATGAATATCACACTCGATATAGGAGTGACCCAAATCTGGCAAGGTATCCTGTGAAACCACCTCCTGAGGAACAACAGATGCGTATGCATGCAAAAGTTTCTAAAGCACGGCATGAAAGGAGGCACAGTGATGTTGCTTTGCCACATACAGAAATGGAGGAAGCAGAGGTACCTGAGAATAAATTAGGAAAACGCTCTCAATTACAGGGAACTCAGGACAGAAAAACTCTTGTGGAAACTCAGAGATCATACTCTATAGACAGAACAGGCGAAGTACGAATTTCCGTTTCTAAACAATTTGCTAATCATAGCCCACCAACTCCCAGACATAGTCCAGTTCCAGTAGAACACCTTGAATCCAAGAACCATGATTCCTTTAAAAAACAGAGTCGCCTTGATCCTAGTTCTGCTATTCTCATGCGGAAAGCAAAGCGGGAAAAAATGGAAACTATGCTAAGAAATGATTCCCTTAGTTCTGATCAATCAGAATCAGTGCGGCCATCCCCTCCAAAGCCTCATAGAGCAAAAAGAGGTGGAAAGAAAAGGCAGATGTCAGTTAGTAGCTCAGAGGACGAGGGTGCATCAACACCAGAATATACTAGCTGTGAAGATGTGGAAATAGAAAGTGAAAGTGTCAGTGAAAAAGGTAAGATCTTCATGTATATTATACATGTGTGGAAAAACATATGTGTATCATGCTGTCACCTTTACATTTTTTATCTTAATCTATTCACATTAGAGAGATTTTATATAGCTTCAATTTGGAGTGTAATCTGTTTTTCTGGTTTTTGCATTTTTAGAGGAGATATTTCCAAATGAATAACCACGAATGATTATTCTCTCCTTCCCTTCCTTTTTTTTTTTTTTTTTTTAAAAATTCTAGAGGGGCTTGTGTTTTTTACCCTTTGTATTAGT